ATTATTATTATTATTATTATTATTATTATTATTATTATTATATGTATACCTTAGGTCATTTTACATGTTAATCTAAAAAACTATTTTTTTTCATATATCTTTTTACCAACCGTTGATATAATTCACTGGTCAAATCAACTAATATAATCCGCTAACGCTAACCGCTAACTACTGATTGTCAAACAAGGACATTATGAGATAGTTCTCACTTCAATTTGTTGTGTGATTTGAATACTCTCTTTGTCAACAAATTCCTCAAGTAGTTAATATGATTGGCTTTATTAATTATATTTTTCTTATTTTTTTCATGGTATTAATAAAATACTTGGTAAATAAATATATAACATTATTTTGTATTATAACTTTGATATTTAATTAAAAAAATAGTGCACAAAAAAGATAATAGGCAATGTAGTGAATATAATCAATTGATGAATTTGAATGTAAAGAATTTTTACATTGGAGAAAAATAAAGATAATATAATATAATAAAATTATTTCTCTTAATTAATTTTTGATAATGAATAATTTTTTTTTATAAAGACATTGTAGGGATAATGTAGCGAATATAATCAATTGATGAATTTGAATGTAAAGAATTTTTATATTGAAGAAATATAAAGACAATATAACTAATGAAATTATTTCTCTTATTTAATTTATTGATAATGAATAATTTTTTTGAATAAAAACATTGTAGATACATAATTCTAAATTAAAGATCGAAATGCATATGTATTATTTTTTTGTTGTAACTACTAAATTATTATTTAATTTAATAAAAGTAAAATAGAGTACTAAATATGCCAACTTTGATTGGGATGGGGTTCGAACTTCGAACTTAAGACCTTTCTTATTGAAATCAATGAATATAAGTTAACGGTGAACTAATAGAAATTATCGGAAAAGATATTATTTAACGGGAAACTTAACGGATAATCATATTCATTAAGGATAAATTAGTAAATCTTAAGAAAAAATTAAAATCTGATCAATCTGAGCCATTCATTTGATTAAAAAACTTGACCGCCATTTTTTCTACCCATTATAGGCCTAACTCTCTTGGGCTCTTATTAGTATTACTAGTTTTTTACGCGCATTGCGCGATTGGGATAATGCCCAATGTTTTTTTTTTTTTTAAATAAGTACTTTAAAGTATATTAAGGCAAGATTATATTGAAATTGTTCATGCATAGATAATTGAAGGTTGAATTTGCGTATTTAAATATGTAATTCTTCTCCCGAAGGTTGAGTCCCCAACCCCAAGGGCCCCCCACACTCCGATCCGACAGAGCATTGTGGGAAGTTGTAAATCACGGTGACTCAATCGTTCAGCAGATAGGACCAAATGCCGGTGCGAACAAGGAATCTGCCCAATTTGGACATAATTCCCGCACTGCCGCCGCCGAGGTTCAAACCTTGGTCTCTTCTCCCAAATACTGCCCACTAGACCATTGAGCTAAGCCCGTGCGGGTTAAATAGGTAATTCTAAGTTTACAAATGCAAGATAATATAGTCAAGATTGATTATAATTGTCAATAAAATAATTGTATAGGTATGGTTGAAACCAAATACGGGACATAAGGGAGAACAAATAACAATTAGGGTATAAAATATTAAATATATACTAATATTGTTTGAGGAGATTTCGACATTAGGATTTGTGGTTAAGTTCTATTAAGATTTTAATATTAAAATTAGATTAATGGTGTAGTTATAATTCTATATTAGACTTTAATATTAGAATTAGACTAACGGTGAATTAACGGTATTTAACGAAAAAGTTAAATTGATAATCATATAATTAAGGATAAATTAGAAAAACTTAAAAAAAAAAAAATTAAAACCTGAACAATCTGTATTCATTTGATTTAATAATTTGGCGGCCATTTTTTCTAACCAATGTTAATAATTAAATAAATTCGTTGGTCAAATCCGCTAATATAATCCGCTAACTGCTGATTGTCAAACAAAGACATTGCAAGGTAGTTCTCACTTCAATTTGTTGTGTGATTCGAATACTCTCTTTGTCACAAAATCTTTCAAGTAATTAATATGGTTGGCTTTATTAATTATATTTTTTTTAATTTTTTCATGGTATTAATAAAATACTTGGTAAATAAATATATAGCATTATTTTGTATTATAACTTTGATATTTAATTAGAAAAATAGTGCACAAAAAAGATAATAGACAATGCAGTGAATATAATCAATTGATGAATTTGAATGTAAAAATTTTCACATTTGAAAAAAATAAAGACAATATAACTAATGAAAATATTTCTCTTAATTAATTTATTGATAATGAATAATTTTTTTTCACTGAATTAAGACATTGTAAGGACAATGTAGCGAATATAATCAATTAATAAATTTGAATATAAAGAATTTTTATATTGTAGAAAGATAAAGACAATATAACTAATACAATTATTTCTCTTATTTAATTTATTGATAATGAATAATTTTTTTTTGAATAAAGACATTGTGGACACATAATTCTAAATTAAAGAAATGCATATCTATAATTTTTTGTTGTAGCTACTAAATTATTATTTATATAATTTAATAAGAGTAAAATAGAGTACTAATTATGCCAACTTTGATTGGGATGAGATTCGAACCTAAGACCTTTTTTTTTTATTGAAATCAATGAGTAAGTTAACGGTGAACTAACGGCAATTCTTAAAATTTTAACGGAATTAGTAACGTTGTGTGGGTATTTTAGGAAATTTTAGTGTAAAATTTAAATCTTATCAATCTTTTAATCAATCTAAGCCATTCATTTGATTAAAATCTATGACCGCCATTTTTTCTACCCATTATAGGTCTAACTCTCTTGGGCTCTTATTAGTATAGTAGATTATTAGTTTTTTACGCGCATTGCGCGATTGGGATAATGCCCAATATATTTTTTTTAAAATAAGTACTTTAAAGTATATAAATGTAAGACTATATTGGAATTGTTCATGCATAGATAATTGAATGTTGAATTTGCGTATTTAAATAGGTAATTCTAAGTTTACAAATGCAAGATAATATAGTCAATATTGATTATAATTGTCAATAAAATAATTTTATAGGTATGGTTGAAACCAAATACGGGACATAAGGGAGAGCAAATAAAAATTGGGGCATAAAATTTTAAATATATACTAATATTGAAGAGCTAATTGTTGATTGTCAAACAAGGACATTGCGAGATAGTTTTCCACTTCAATTTGTTGTGTAATTTGAATACTCTTTTTGTAAATAAATCCCCCAAGCAGTTAATATGATTGGCTTAATTATATTTTTTTATTTTTTTAAAACAATTATTATTATTATTATTATTATTATTATTATTATTATTATTATTATTATTATTATTATTATTATTATTATTAAATATATGTATACCTTTAGGTCATTTTACATGTTAATCTAAACAGCTAATTTTTTCAAATATATTTTTACCAACCGTTGATATAATTCGCTGGTCAAATTCGATAATATAATCTGCTAACTGCTGATTGTCAAACAAAGACATTGCGAGGTAGTTCTCACTTTTTGTTTTGTGATTTGAATACTCTCTTTGTCAATAAATCCCTCAAGTAGTTAATATGATTGGCTTTATTAATTATATTTTTTTTTAATTTTTTCATGGTATTAATAAAATACTTGGTAAATAAATATATTGCATTATTTTGTATTATAACTTTGATATATAATTAAAAAATAGTGCACAAAAAAGATAATAGACAATGTAGTGAATATAATCAATTGATGAATTTGAATGCAAAGAATTTTTACATTGGAGAAATATAAAGACAATATAACTAATAAAATTATTTCTCTTAATTAATTTATTGATAATGAATAATTTTTTTTAATAAAGACATTGTAGGGATAATGTAGTGAATATAATCAATTGATGAAATTGAATGTACAGAATTTTTATATTGGAGAAAAATAAAGACAATATAACTAATGAAATTATTTCTCTTATTTAATTTATTGATAATGAATAATTTTTTTTTGAATAAAGACTTTGTAGACACATAAATCTAAATTAAAGAAATGCATATGTATTATTTTTTGTTGTAGCTATTAAATTATTATTTAATTTAATAAGAGTAAAATAGAGTACTAATTATGTCAACTTTGATTGGGATGAGGTTCGAACCTAAGACCTTTCTTATTGAAATCAATGAGTAAGTTAACGGTGAACTAACAGAAATTAACGGAAAAGATAATATTTAACGGAAAAGTTAACGGAAAATCATATTCATTAAGGATAAATTAGGAAATCTTAAGGAAAAATTAAAATCTGATCAATCTGAGCCATTCATTTGATTAAAAAATTTGACCGCCATTTTTTCTACCCATTATAGGCCTAACTCTCTTAGGCTCTCATTAGTATAGTAGATAGATAGATAGTAGATTAGTATAGTAGATAACTCTCTTGGGCTCTTATTAGTATAGTAGATTATGTTTGGGGATGAGCATTCAACGACAAATTAATAAGGAAAACAAAACATTTTTAATGTGAAATTGAAATATTAAAATTTTGAAATTGATGGGCTTTTATTTATTTATTTATTTTTTGAAAACAATTGACGGGCCATATATATAAAACCAATAGTACTGGTATGTGCTTGAAAATATTACGACATGAATAGGAAATATCTCTTCTGTCCCTGTCTCTATCGTTTTACGAGTGGAGATAGGGGCAAATTATGCTGTGGATCTGTATGCACCATGCATGGTGCATACAGATCCACACGACGTCGTTTTAGCCTAATGACGCGGGGTTTTATAAAAAAAAAAAAAAAATTCCGTTAACGGCGTTTACTTCCAAATTCCTTTTGAGTTTGTTTCCAAGTTTCAAACTCGATCGTTGGCAGTTGTTCGCTGTGGTATTGGCATTCGATATCACCGGAATCGCGATCGCAATCTCAATCGCATTCGCAAATCGCAATCGCAAATCGAAATTGGGAATTACAAAGTGATTGATAGATGGAGGATGGAACAGAGCAGACGAATTCCGCAGTTGATGATTGGCATTCGATTCAAGGTGATCTTGTTATTGTTCTTGCAATCGTTCCTTTTGGTTTTTTGTATGATTATGTGATTAGCAGTGATGTTTGTGTCTAGAATCTGCAAATAGTTGTGCAAAATCACGTAAGTAATTTCCATAATTGTGTAACAACAATTTCAGAATTTGAAAACAATAATTCCATAATTTCATAACTATATTTCCAGAATTGCATGTCTATATATTCAGAATTAGGGGTACTCTGTTTTGGCAGTTTGTTGCGACTGTGTATCCAGAATTGTATAACTATATTTCCATAATCATATAACTATATATACAGAATCTGTAGACACTCTGTTTTTTCTGTTTGATGAACTGTTTGAATTAATGTTCACCATGTCTATATAATGTAGTTAGTGAAGGCATTGTGGATGGTTCAGTAGATGTTGATGGATCTTCATCAATTACAGGTTTATTCATAGTGGTTTACCTTTTAATTAGCAAATTATGGTTAGGAATTATGTGTTAATGGAAATGGTTATTATTGTGTTATATTTGCAGTTGATCAAGATTTGGTTGGTTTGGTAGTAAGTAATGCTGATGAGGCTTTTGAGGTGTATAACAGTTATGCATATACACTTGGTTTTAGTGTGAGGAAGGGTCATCAACGATACAAGGGATCTTCGAACACAATTCAAATGAAGAAATTTTGTTGTTCTAAGGCTGGTTACAAGGCTAACAGTGGGGTTAAGGCTTATTCCAAAATTGACACAAGGACAGGGTGTGGAGCGTTTGTTCAATTTGACGTGGGTGATGATGGGTTGTGGACAGTTACGAAACACGAGAAAGTGCACAATCACGAGTTATGTGTGTTCAACAAGAGTCATCTACTTCGTTCACATAGGAGTGTCGGAGATAATCAGCTCTTATATTTACAAGGTTTGAAGGACAGTGGTGTTGCATTGGCAGATGGTATTAGGTTCCTAAAACACCAATCGGGGGGGTCCCCTTTAGTTGGTTTCACCAGTAGAGATGCTTATAATTCAATGGCTGCAGATACTGTCAAGCGATTGGATGGAACGGATTCTAACTCTTTAATTGAAATTTTTAGGAGGAGGCAGTCTACCGAGACTGATTTTTTCTTTGATTTTGAACTTGACTTGGATGCAAGGTTGTGCAGTTTTTTTTGGAGGGATGGTCAAATGAGACGAGATTACGAGGTGTTTGGGGACTTGTTAGTGCATGATACGACATATCGCACAAACAAATACGATATGATTTGTGCCCCTTTCGTAGGGATGAATCACCATTGCATGAATGTAATGTTTGGATGCGGGTTTTTGATGAACGAGAGGATAGAATCGTTTGTGTGGTTGTTTAAAGTGTTTTCAAGATCAATGGGTGGCAAGTCTCCACAGACTATTATGACAGATCAATGTGCAGCTATGGCTGCTGCTATATCTAAAGTGTTTCCAACATCACGTCATCGTCTTTGCATATGGCATATCGGTGAGAATTCAAAGAAGCATATCAAGACGTTAAGGAGCAATAAGGATTTCTTGGATATGTTTAATACGTGTTGAAATACACAGAGACCGAAGCTGAATTTCAATTCTATTGGACAAGGTATGTTAGTAATTAATCGTTTTTATTGCATTACATTTGTAATCATGGATGTATAGTGCATCAATTATGGATATATAGTATTTCGATTATGGATATATAGCAGTGGTGGTGTCTGGAAATGTAGTATATGGATTATGGATATATAGTATTCCGATTATGGATATATAGTATACCGATTATGGATATATAGCAGTTGAACTTACTGGTGGTGTCTGGAAATGTAGTAGTATGGATTATGGATATATAGTCTATCAATTATGGACATATAGTATTCCAATTATGTATATAGAGCAATAGAAATTCTGAGTATGTGTTAGATGTGGTGATGCTGCTTGTTAATATTCTGCTTCATAATCATTTGGGATTTTGTCTTACCATTTTCAGGTTGGTGACTGACTATAAATGTCACAAGAATACTTGGTTAGAAAAGCTATATGACTGTAGGGAGAAGTGGTGTCCAGCATTTAACAAGGACTATTTTTCTGGGGGCATTCTATCATCACAAAGGAGTGAAACTACAAATCATTCGATTTCTAGAAGGTTGTCCAAGACAGCAGGTCTTTGTGATTTCTATTCATCGTTTGTAAGCGTAATTTCTGAATGGAGAAGTAAAGAGAACGGTGAAGACTTTCGGTGTGCTCAAGGGGTACCCGCTATGATGATGGAGCATGTGAAACTTCTTTCACATGCTAGAGAGGTATACACGATTGAGATATATTTTCTGTTTGAGGAACAATTCATGAAAGGCAGTGCGTGTCATCAAGAGATGGTGTTGAATGATGGCCGTCAACAGAAGTATCACGTGTGGCGGCCAGATATAGATATTATAAGGCATGAGGTTAGTTTTAACGCAGCCAACTTGGACATTTCTTGTAGTTGCAAGTTGATGTCTGAGTTGGGAATTCTATGTTGTCATTGTATACGCATTCTTCACGTACATTGTGTTTCTAGTATTCCCGACAAATATATACTTAAAAGATGGACTAAAAAGGTTATTGATGGTAGGAATGTCAACATTGATTCTATGGTTTATAATGTTGGTGTTCCTCCATCAATTTGGGTGTTCGATATTAGTAGAAAATTTCAAAGATTAGTTGTGTCTAGTCAAGATAGCAGCGTAGCGAGGAAACTGTGTGACGAGGCTGTTGATGATGTAAAGAAAAAGGTTGAAGCCGAGGTTGGGCATGTGCATATTGAAGAGTGTGGTGTTTCATCTTCAAGTGGTGGTGTTCAAAATCCTTCAAGTCGGAGATTGAAAGGTGAGCGTAACAAAAGGAGGAGTGGTGTTATTGAAAAGAAGTACAGTCTTGCAAGGGGGAGAAGGAGTGCTGCAAATAAAGCTGCATTGAGTACAAAGGGTGCTGTTCAGTCTTTGGTGTTGGAAAACATATCCAAGCTTGCTGGGGATGGATACCTTGTACATCCAAGTTCTTCAAGTTCAGATTTTGTTCAGTTTAGTAAGGGTTTAGATGACAATGTAGGTGTAGATTGAGAAATACAAGTTGTTATCATTGATTTTATGCAATTATACAGTTTTAGTTTTGTAATTCTGGATATGTAGTTTTGCAATTTTGGAACTGTAGTTATGAAATTATGGAATTATAGTTATACAATTATGGAATTGTAGTCATGCAATTATGAAAGGTATGCAATTATGAAATTATAGTCATTCAATTATGAAAATATAGTTATGCATTTATGCATGTGTAGTCCCCATTGTGATGGAATTTGTAGTTATGAAATTGTGGTGTTTAGTTATGCAAGTATGGATGTATAGTTTTGCAATTATGGTATTATTGTTACGCAATTATGGAACTATAGTTATGCAATTGTGGAATTGTTTATATACAATTATGGAATTATAATTATGAAATTATGGAATTATAGTTATGCAATTATGGAACTATAGTTTTGCAATTCTGGATTTATAGTAGTCATGCAATTATAGATTTGATACATGAAAACAAAAACAAAACAAAAAAAAAAAAAAGTAAAGAAAAGAAAAGAAGAGAAAAGAGAAAGAGGTGCATAGATCAGATGTAAATTGTTATTTAGCTATTAACATCATGCATCTACATTCACAAAATACAAGTCACATTCACAAAAACTTTCTAATTGTTTAGAATTCAGTCAACATGTTGAAGAATATTCATTCAATTCTTCTTCGAAACTCTTTTGGCCGCTTGCAGAACCTCCCCCCTGACTTCATTCATTCTCCACTTTATGAGGTTCGCAGCATATTTCGCTCGCAATTCACACATGAAGCTTGCCTATAAACAAATAACATTAAGTAATTAGTCATTCGCAGTTTTATTTATTTTTTAATGTATTTTGAAACTATAATATGTATGGTAGTCTTACATTCAAGCGCATATTTTTCTTGAATCCTGGCTGCCAGTCTTGTAGAGTCCCTCGGAATGTCTCCATATGACGGAGTACATAGATCCCGCAATCAGTGACGTTTTCAGTGTTTGCCCAGTCCAACTTAAGGTACTTTATATCAACTTTTTGCAATTTCACATACAAGGAGTGGCACTCGGCCTTAAGGTAACCACTGAATGCTTCAATCTGGTCAGAAAAGTTAGTTTAGTGTTGATAATGCTTTTATGTCAATAGATAGGTAATGGTAAGAATGTCAAGTTTTTTTTTATCAAAATTACCAATAAGTGTGGGCAGTTGCCATATTTGTCCTTCTCCGAAACACCAACTGGTAACTCCTTGTTGTCAATGACCTGTACTTTATGTTCTTTCACATTGAAGCAGACCAAGAAGTAGTGACCATGGCGATGAACTGCGAAGAATATCTAATTCCAATTCAAAGTTAAAGCAATGTTAGTATTTTTTTGGACATGATAAAGTCAAATTGGACATGGGTAATAGAACTTACCAGATCTGCATCACTGATGTCTAGGTTCCCGAAGCTGGTTATTTCATAGCTCAATCTCTCATTGAAATTCTTCATTTTTATGTGAGTTGGGAGATCCTTCATCCACTGATCATTGGGATCAATTTGAAGCTGCACATACAAATGCAGGAATGGGTAGTCATAATCCAAATAATATTTGTTGAAAATGTTAAAGTTATACATACAGAGTTATATATATATACATTTCCAGAATTGTACAACTATAGTTCCATAATTGGATAACTATAATTCCATAATTTCATATCAATAATTCCATAATTGCATATAACCAATTCCATAATTGCATAAGTATAGTTCTATAATTGCATAACTATAATTCCAGAATTACAAAATTATAAAACCAGGGGTTCACAGGTACACATCCAGAACTGAATAACTACATATCCATAATCTAAAAACTATATATTCATAATTTGTGAACACTTACATGTACTAGGGTGGAGAAGTAGACCCGCTTTGTCTCCCCAACCGCACGGGGCATGTTCAGCAATGTAAAACGTAGGGACCAGACATCTAGGAAGCTGCTCAGTAGCTCACCGTTGCACATAGTTGCAAAATCATCCCTTGTGAAGTAGTAATCACCATATTTGAACAATGTCTCTCTACAATACAGTAAATAAATAAATATAAGAACATAAATTAATGAATAAAATTTAAGTAAAATTGGTGGATGGAAACATACCCTCCCGGGTGCTCACTTGAGGCTTCCAAAAATGCGTAGTTTGAAAAAAACCTTTTCTTTGGGAGTTGCATTATTGATGGAGCCTTTGTTCTTATTCCAATATGGTGACCTCAAATGAAGCGGGATGTTCCTGAATTTGCGCACAGGTCTCTTTCTCACAGTAACATCCTCAACATCAGATTCACTTTCATCCATAGCCCTGTTGTCCAGAAAAAAACAGAGGCAGTTCATAACCCCACAAGTATAATTCCAGAATTGTATAACTACATTTCTATAATCTATAAACTATATGTCCATAATTTGAGAAATACATATCCATAATTGTAAAGAAATCAACGTCACTAGTTGAATAAGAATATATTCATATTAATCAAACTTAATATTCATAATTATTGATGAATTGAAAACCATATTTATAGTCTAAATCTGCATAAGAAAGCAGTAACCTACTTATCAAATTCATCAATCTCAGCAGCAGTTTGGGCAGCAGGGGTAGTAGGAGTGGTGGACTTTTCGAATGGCACTCTGATTAGCAATGGAGTTGCTTCCTTCTCTGTTGATACTCCTGCACTCCTCACAATGTTATCCACCAAGGTGTCCAAAGGCTGCTGTTGAGATGGTGGTGGGGTTGGTGTAGAGCGTCCAAGTAGCTCAAATGATGGGACTTCTATTTCCATTTCCTTTCTTGTTTTTTCAAAAGCTGCTACCAGAGAATCAACTGCTGATGTGAAGCTCTCACTTCCGAAGAAGATGTCATCCAATTGCGAGGCAGTTGGGCTAGGAGTCGGTTGAATTGTGCTTGCAGCACTCAGCATTGTTGATATTCTGAAAAAGCCCTCTTCATGATTTCAACGGGGCCCCTTGCTTGCCAATGTCAGACATGACCTGACCGAACTCAAGGACATCTGCTGTAAGCCGTTGAAGCACATTTGTTACTCGGTCAACATTTGTCAGAGGCACAGATGGAGCTGGAATAGTTGGTGTAGCAGCAGGGGCTGGACACTGGCCTTGTATTGCAGCAGGAGGAGGTGCAGGTCGGGGTGATGATGTAGATGCAATGGCAGTAGGTCTCTGAAATCGAGGGATAACTTTGCCCTTACCAAAACCCCCTGATTTTATCTCAGCCGATACTCGCTTGCGTACAAGGCTTTTTGTCCAAGCTTTTATTGCTGGGAATGTGCGGTTGACGGTCATGCCTCTGAACTGTACTCGGTCAAAGTAGAAGAGCTTCAAGAAGTACAGAAGAGTATGTTAAGGAATTGAATAACTACATATTCAGAATTGCATATCTATAATTCCATAATTGCATAACTATAATTCCCATAATTATAAAACTAGATATCCAGAATTGCATATCTATAATTCCATAATTGCATAACTATAATTCCATAATTGGATGACTATAATTCCATAATCCATAAAGTACACATCTATAATTGATTAACTATAATTCCATAATTGTAAAACTATTATTCCATAATTGGAAAACCACAATTCCACAATTACAAAACTCACATCCATAAGGGCATAACCACACATACAGAATTGCATATCTATGATTCCATAATTGCATGAATTTAATTACATAATTAGAACATTTTATGTATAATGGGATATTACCAGGATGAATACCATTGGACCTCCAAAGGATCTGGTAGGAGAGTCTTTGTAAATGTCATACGAATCAATTAAAGAATTGTACGTGTACTTGCACCAATTAAGTCTTGAGATTGACCGGATGTTGAGCAATGACTTGATAACTCGATAGTTGGCATATCTTCCTGTATTTCCCCGGAGCCAGAGATGAGACAGCAAACACCACAAAGTCTTCTTGAAGGCATCTCCATGGTCACCTCTCCTGATTATTTCATCAGGCATCTTTGTTGTTATGGGTGACCCTGACCTGACATTCCATCTTTTCCTCCACTCAGTCAGGACCTTATTATATGCAGCTGTAGAATTTTCCTCACTCTTTGTACCTTCCTCAACATCTCTCTTCCCCCGGGGGAGTCCCAAGATGTATTCAACATCCTCTTCACCAACATGTAGATGGTCACCATCCAATATGAAGTCTGATTTGAAAACATCAAACCTTTGCAGGAGATACTCAACAAGTTGTGAGTAATTGCTTGAAAATTGTAGGTGCAGCAGCCCTCCAAAACCCATATCAATCACAGCATCCTTTTGGTCATGTGTTAGACGCTGGACAAGGTCATACATTTGCTTGGGACCCATTCGTGTACTGAAGTAGTTCACATCAGGGTCCCGTACTCTCTCTTGCTTTTGTGGTGGTGCCCTCTTTCTTTTTACAGCTGCTGGTTGTTGCTTGTCGAAGGCTCTGCTTGATCTTCCTGGCAGGGGTGGTTCAGCAGCTTGTGAGCTCAATACTGCTCTGGTTGTTTCTTTTTTACAGACTTCACAAATTGACGCAAGTGTAGAATCATCTGCCACACCTTGACTGATCCATTTCTGCAAATAAAAAACATCAAGTGAGGTTAACAGAGTACTATATCCAAAACTTCATAACTACAATTCCATAAACACAAAACTATACTTCCAGAATTGTAAAACTACAATTCCATAATCTCATAAGTATACCACAAGGCAAGTTATGCTAAAAAGGATTTGAATGGCAATTTGGTGCACAGAGTAAGGTTCACAGAGTACTACATCCAAAACTCTATAACTACAATTCCATAAACGCACAACTATATTTCAAAATTGTAAAACTACAATTCCATAAGTATACGCACAAAGCAAATTATGTTAAGAAGGCATGAATGCAGTTTGGTGCACAGAAGTAAGGTTAACAGAGTACTACACCCAAAACTGTATGTCTACAATTCCATAAATGTACAACTATACTTCCAAAATTGTAAACTAC